GGAAGAAAAATCATCCATTTTTCGCGCATAAAAAGTGGTTTTTAACTCTCGAAACCTGTTTTTATAGGTTTTAAAGTCGTGCAATGTCTAAGTTAAGCCGGAACACATCATTATATCTCATTTTTTATTTCTTTTTAAAAAATTTTAAAAATTGTTTGCCCAGCCTAATTGTATATGTCATGGCTAAATAGTCAAGTCTAGCCAATAGAGAAAACATAGACTTTATTTAAACCCAAGCGAAAGTATTAATGGTTTTTAAGTACCATACTTTTATGGTACACGACTTTGCTAAAATGTGATTAAAAATAAAAACGATTGCAATTGGCACGCCTGTAGCTTTTTCACGAAACCTCCTAGGGTAACAAAATTCTTGTGTAGTACAGCTTTTCAGCTAATTATACAGTATTTATCGCTTACGCCAGAAATTGGACCTGCTCGCCGCGCGTTGAATAGCGACTAATAAGCAGTGAAAACATTTGTCTGTCTTTCTGTGGGGAGAAGGGAATCTGATCTGATCTGCAATCGCTGGAAGACTCGCCGCCTTCTACTTTGAAAATACCTGTGAAACCGGTTTAATTTGTCACAGCCAGCACTCCCGCAGAGAGTGATGAAAACCGTGCTGCGCCCTCCTATTTGGCATTTTAGTTATGGAGGTGGAAAGACACACCCCCCACCTCTGGGTGCCTGACTTGTCACCATCTTTAACCATTCCGTGTTCGAGTCGCAGTAGGTAGAGACACGTAATAAAAAAAGTTCATTCCAGCTACAACACATATATATTTTTGTGGTAAGAGGGAGCAAAACACCAGTATTTGCTGCTAATAATTAGTGTACGATTTAAAGTTGAAATTCTGAGCCTAAATATAAAGTTAAAATCTCGACAAACGAAGCAATGTAGGAAATGCGCACACAGAAAATAAATCTGTTCTGACATCTCAAATCAGTTTCGATCAAGGTCTCCAGAACGAACAAGAAAAAGCCCATTTTCAGAGAGCAATTACGCTGTGTTTATGTAGAATAAGTGATTAGATTTATGAGCAATCTAATTTCTTATTCGTTTAAAACAGTGAAACAGCTGCAAAAGATCAAGGTAGAGATTTACGTTGCATTGTGCATTGTGCTGCTGTAATACAGTATAAAATAATTAAAAGTCTAAACAGTATCAGCTTTATTTATGGGTTTGTGTTTGTGCATGAACATAGTTACAGTATACTGTTATTTCTTTAGAAACGCGATTGCATGTTTTTTTTTAATCCCTGGCAGGACCAGGCGTAAGAATGAGTCTATAAGAATCAAGTAATAGGTTTCATTGTGCTTTGACAGATTGCTTTGACAGAAACCAAATTTCCCAAATTTAATATGTGCTTTTCTATATTTATTGTCCATAATATTGCTATTCTATTTTTTCAAAGAAATGTTTGTTAAAATAAAAGTCATGGCGCTGGCTGGATTTGAACAAATCTAGTCGGGCACCTAGACCACAGTACCACCTGCAAGGTCACATGAGGAATGGTGAAACAGCCTTACACAAACAGTATCAACAGACATTGTACAGCGTATACTATTCTTGTGTATATAATTATATTGTTATTAATTTCTTTAGACATGTGATTCCATATTATATTCCCTATTAATCAAATTCTAAAAGTATGCTTGTTGACGCCTGTATCGAGCGTATTCACAGAAAAGCTAACAACTTTTACTTTTTATACACGTTATTTCACATGTTAGGCCAGCCTTCCCAGAAGCCAATTAGCCTGCCAGCTCGTTTGTGGACTGTGGGAGAAAACACACCACACAAACATGGAGAGAACATACAAACTCCACACAGATAGCACCCCAGGTCTGGAATTGAACCCAGGACCCCAGTGTCCTGCAATGAGCTGATGGAAGCAGTAACCTGGAGACTCAATCCAGGCGGAGGCTCTGCTGGAAGCAAGCAGGGGAGGCAGCAGAAAGTGAAACTAGAGACACGATCGACAAGGCAGGGGTTGAGCTGAGAGGAACTGATTAAAGCACCAGGGAGAGTCTGAAGGAGAGCCATTTAACATACAGGAAACTGGTTAAAGCTGGAAAGACCTTGTGTTCAAATGAAAAAGGACTCTATGAATGAAATCTCATGGAGAATATTACGCACAGAATTCTAAACCTAAATAATATATATATATATGTGTATGTGTAAACCAGATGGGCAAAATAGGAAAGATTGCATATTGAATCTCTCAGTAAAGAGATATTGTAACAAATAAATATAGTCACAAACAAGAACTTGTATAAAATTGTGTAGCAAATTTTTGTCTTTCTATATGCCCAGCTTCTTTTTTATTTTGTAATTCCTAGGTGTGGATGCATGTGAAAAGGGCAATATTCTGTGTCTCAGCATACCTAAATAAAACAATAAAAAACAAAGAAATCACCAGTGTTCACTGACCTCAGTGTTGTTAATTTACAGTTGGGATCCCTCAGAGCTGCAGACAGCAGTTTCACTCCTGAATCCCCCAGGTTATTGCGACTCAGATCCAGCTCTGTCAGACTGGAGTGTTGAGACTGAAGAGCAGAGGCCAGATCTTCACAACATCTCTCTGTTAGTTTACAGCTCTCCATCCTGCAGACAAAAAGACAGGAGCAAAGCTGAACATCTGCACAGCTCATCCACATCTTTCTGTCCAAGCCTTCACTCCAACACCCAGCTCAGCAGTAATATACAACATCATGTCATTCTCCATCTCAGAGTGTCCATGGATGAGGATGAGGAAGATAACAGCTGCTTCAAAATTTGGAATCCAGAAGGAAGAAGAAAGATGAGAAGAAACTGTCAGGAAGGGAGACAGTGGACAAAAGGTAGACATATGGAGCTACAAGGAAAAGGGAAACAGAAAGACTTTGACTTTTAACCAAAATAAAAATTGCTTCACATTTATTATTATATTTTATCATTATGTCATCTTCTTATAGTTATTTTTTGTTAGTTATATGTTGTTTTTCTTCAAATGGTTTATTAATCCCAATGTAAATTTCTAATATTGGAGTAAGTGAACTGAAGATTTTATTATTGTTGTTTGTAAATATGTTGAGAAAAACTTTCCCATTTGAAGAAAAAAAACAACAACCAGGGTTTTAAGCATAACAACACATAAAAATAAAAATAATAATAATGTGAAGCAGTAAACAGCATACACACACACAACCCCTATATACTACACAGATCCCACTAAAAAGAAAAAAAGAAAACCATAATGAAACTAAACACCCCTCCCAAAAATATACAACACTGTACTTTTTACACTTGACTCTCTACACAGACTCTCACATGTAACAGTCAAAACACACCGACACCTTCAAACGAGAATCTCTACAGTTTAACTGGAGGCACCATGGGCGACTGATTTTTTTTATTAAAAAAAATAAGAAACAATGACCTGTCCCTGTCTAACTTTGGAATTGCATGAGTTTAAAAGCTGTAAAAAACAGTTTAATTAAAAAACACTTTTTATGAGCACAAAAACGGGTGATTTTTCTTCCTCGTGATCAGCTTAGAAACTTACACTGTGAGTTACTTTTTAATCAAACGTTTAAAACACTTGAATTTCATAAACACAAAGAAAAAACATATTCTACTATCTTCCAATGGTATGAAGCAGATCAGTAGGTCTTTTTTTCCCCAATTAGAGGCTGAGAAAATATCTCCCTGCCCACTGCTCTGCGTCAGAGAAGCGGCGGCACTGAGAGAGGGAGGAGGCGCGGAGCTCTGTAATTCAGAATGAGCCGTCTGCTGCCTGGAACGCTTAAGACACAGATCGCATCTGCCTTTATAACTTAGGTTTTCAAATTAAGCAATGTAAATCATTTCCTTTGACTTCTAGTCCTTTAATTATCATTAAGGATAGCTACTTTTTCACCAATTATATTTATTTTTTAAACCATTATTAAACAAAGAAGGAGCTTATTGTACTTCCTAATGACATGACATGTGGAAAGATTATAGATTTCAACCGCCTTTAGGTATTTATGAATTTTAGCAAAGTGTCATCAAAACAAATGCCACAAAACTATTCTCAATTGTATTTTTGGATTTTATGTCTAACTTAGTTCAATATTCGAAATACAAGTAATTGTTCAAATGCACGTTATATCCTAGTATTGGAAAATAAGTAAAATATAGAATTAGTAAAGAAAAATTAGGATAAAATACATTTTAAAATATTTTGCTATCAACAATTAATAACAGTCTTAACTGTTTGGCAGGTTGGCAGTGTTTAGCTTGCTTTTGGTAAGTTTTTTCATAAATACAACAGTAGCATCAGATGTCTCAGTGACTTTCAAAATTAAATTATGCATGCAAATCTGTGAACTAGAAAGATAAGTAAGATATCCATCCATTTCTAATGGTGGCACAGTGGTTAGTATTGCTGTCCTGCAGTGCTGGGGCCCCAGGTTCAATTTTTGGGTTACAGTATGTGTGGAGTTTGCATGTTCTATATGGGTTCATGTTGGTTTTCTCCAAGTACTCTACAGGTACCTACATACTGGTAGGTTAAATGGCTTATGGGAATACTGGCCCTGGTGTGAGTGTGTGTGTGTTTCTGTCTGTCTGCCCTGTGATGTATTCTGGGTGTATTCTGCCTTGCATCCGTTGCTTGCTGGGATAGGCTTCAGCTCCCCTGTACTGGAGAAAGTGATTAGAAAATGGATGGAACTAAAGTAATTGTATATCTATTGGATGGCAGGATCTCACTGAGGATAAATTATTTTATACTGCTGGCTTAACAAAACCGCTTTTCCACTTCTCTGGCACATCAGTATCCATAACTAGTCTGTAAACAAATTGCCTCTAAATACAAATATCTTCAGATGCTGGCTCTGGATCAGTATCAGCTATGTTTGCCCATTCATTCATTTAAGTGCACCAAACACACAGTTGAATGCTAGCAATTTCACAAAATCTAAAATACAATTCTCATTTCAGTATCTATATAAACATTCAACAGTGGATATTCAGTGAGTCTGTTAACTTTATCATCTTCCTCTGCAGTCTGTAACATCTCCAGTCCATTTGTCAAAAGCATGCCTAACCCTCTTAGGAAGTGTCCTTGTTATCAGTGTATTCCTCAACTTTCCCCAAATTATTTGTTTCCTACCTACATCTCTAGTCTTAACATGCTCCATGAGAACTTACTTTTAACCTGTGCCTTTTCATCTACTACATGGTAACAAACAATCTTTGTCTAATTTTACTGTACCTGACATTTTTTGCAGCCTGCAGATAACACTTTCAGTTATTCTAGATGAAACCTTGTCTACTACTTTGAGAAACTGAAAATCCCTTTGTAATATCCCTGTCTCAACTCCTCTTCATTCTTCATTTCAACAATACTGTTTCTACAGGAAGTTTCAGGTCCACATTCCAGCTTGCCTCTTGTTCATTTATTTCTTCCTCACTGTCCAAAGCTCCTCTTACTTTCTTAACTCTACCGCTAGTAGATCCTTTGTCTCCCTTGCTTCTTTTTCAACCTTTCCATCCTTCTCCTTCAGTGTCTGCAACCTGGCATCTCTTATTCTAACCATACCTTGAATATCCATATACCTTGCATTCATTTCTTATATACCTGTATGCAGTTATTTTGCATATGTTGTTTTTTTGCAAGAGCTCTTCAGACACGCTGTTACTAGCCTGAACATAACACCTAATGCTTTGCACCCTGCAATAACTCAGCCTAACTTATATCCTCAAAAATTGCTTGTATTAATTGGTTTAAATCACAAACATCATATGTAAATACTGGCCATGTAGCATTAAAAAAGGTGCATTGTGGAAAACCACACTGATTTAGTTTATTTAAAGGGTACTAGAGAAACCAGAAGGGCTTCTTTTTCTAGAAATGATGACTGCACATCCTGTTCACTGGGGTAATTAAATCCACACCGAGCAATCTCCAATATGTTCAGAATTTGAGAGCCAGAAACATGATCAGGTTGCATTATGCCTATCTTCAAGCCCTTGCACTGAGTTCCTATCAGATTTTGAGTAAACTTCAACATCCTCATCCTCATTCAGTACCTGTCTGGCTTATTATCTGTCTACTCCCCACCATGCAACTTTCATTCGTCTGACTCTGGTCTTCTAGCTGCCCTCAAGAACATCTACATTCTGTGGGTGACAGGGTCTTCTCTAGCTGCACCCCAGAGCTCTGGATTTGTATCCCCAGTGATATCAGAGTCACCTTGTCTTTCTTAAATGTATTTACTTTGTAATTTGTGGTCCTTATAACTGTTTTTACACCAGCTATATTGTTTTGAGATGATTGAGCTGCTTGAGATAATAATAAAATAAAGTTTATTATTATTGTTGTAGAGAAACATTATCCGATTTTCCCTGGTTCAGAAAAAAAGATCTAAACTATACTGGTTTGTCACTCTTCTCACACCCTCTTTGCTAAATGGCTTTGCATACTGATCTGATCACTCTAACTGTACATATTTTCTGTGCTTTCCATATCCTGTTAGATTTATAATTATAATCTCCTTCTTGAAATGAGTCATTTCTAAATACCTGTTTTCACTGTTACCATCTTTCACCAACACAGTGACAAAATATATACTGATCTTAACTTGACAGCTGCTGAGTCCTAAATTCATCCTGCTACCATCATTGAATAAAAAATGTTAAGATTTCTATATTTATGTCTTTATTTAGTGGTTCCATTAGTGACAGGCTAAATTACTTTCTTGGAAAATTGATTATGTGTTGCAAAAAAACACTGACTTACTTTAACACAATATATTTATAAAACATTTCCCCTCACAATATACCTGAATGCTCAACTATTTGAAAAGCCTTCCATGAAACCATGTTTGCTACTAATTCATATAAGGCTTTCTGATAAAAATACACTGGATTCCTGTTGAGTGACGCTGGCCTAGGTTAGAGTCCCCAAAGGTGGGGGGGGGCAACCTGAGGCGGCAGAGGCGAGATCGCATACCCACGTGAACCCGAGAGCATTACAATATTATATTCACATACACTACTAAAACAACAACAACAAACATATTAACAGTATTTACATAAATTCACACAGAGCTACAGAAGGAACAGATCGACTCTGCTGGATCTAAAACAGACACAAACTACTTGACAACAATGGGTAGCGGAAAAGACCCCCTGCTGTGGGTTGTCAGCTTTTTTAGCGAGGTGAGACAATGTCTGGGTTTTTGGGAGTGCAGAGTCCACCGGCTTATTGTCTGATATCTCCGAAGAAGACAGAGTGCCGGTGTGGAATCAAAATGTGGGTGAAATATTAATTAAAATATTTTAAAAATGACCGATAAAGCTCTGTCAAGATAAGAACAAAAATTCAAGTTAGAGAGAGAAAAGTTGTCCACCTCTGCCTATTAAGCTTTCGGTGTGGTTCTATGATGAACAATTTAGTCAGCTGCGTGAACTATTAATACAGGGCTCTCAATTAGAGACATCAGTGGTTCAGATGAGATAAAAAATATTTTACGCTCAGCATGGACCCTCTAGTGGTGACCAGCGGTAGGGCATTTATTTTTCTCCATTGTGTCACAGAGAGAAATCTGGACAGCTTTCCCAGGCAGGCTCTATCC